TTTATTAAGTGCTTACTATAAGTCTGCTATTGTTTTCTAATGCTGTAGTGAGAAGTAGAAATACCATATGATCTCATTTATATGTGGAATCTAAAAAAAGAAGACCCAAACTCATAGATAAATTGGTGGTTTCCAGAGGCAGGGGGAAGAGGGTGGACAAAATGAGTGAAGGATGTCAAAAGGCACAAACTTCCAGTTGCAAAATAAATTAAGTCATGGGGATGTTATATACAGCAGGGAGACTATAGTTAATAATACTGTATTGCATATTTGAAAGTTGCTAAGAGAGTAGATCTTAAATTTTTTCATCACAAGAAAAAATTCTGTAACTGTGTGGTGATGGAGGTTAACTAGACTTATTGTGGTGATTATCTCAAAATATATGCAAATATCAATTCATTATGTTGTACAGCTGAAACTAATATAATGTTATATGTCAATTATACCTCAGTTTAAAAATGTCGTAGCTACCAAAGTGTGTGTGAGAGAGAGAGCGCACAACAGAGAGAGACAGAGAGAAAGAGGGAGAGAGAGAGATTTTTCTTCTGAAGTGACCTCCCTCACTGGGGGTATATAGACAACAAGGAGGATTAGTAAGTGCAGGTGGGGGATGTTAGGGAAGTCTTCTCTGTTAAAATATTGTCTGAGCAGACACATGAAGGAATTGAAAGGAAAAAATGATGAGGATACCTGGAGGAAGATGAGTGCAAGCGGCTGCAACACAAAGTATGATCTAAGGCTGGAGAAAGTCTAGTGTATTCCAGGAAAGCAAAGGGACAATGTGACTGGAAGGGAGTAAAGGAGAGGATAGTGGTGAGAGATGAACACTACTATTACCATAGACTCATGTCTAATTAGAAACGTATGGTGAGTTTGATTTTGTGATTTTTGCAAGAAGACAGAGGTAGCTATGGGTAAAACTTTTTCTCAGTGTTTATATCATTTTGTGTCCATTTTTTTCCAGTACCAAACTTCTGTTCTCTTTATCCTTGTCTTCATCTACATCTCTCAGTTCATCCTTTTTGTTCTCCTAGAAAACTGAATTTAACAGACATAGTTCAATAAGTCCGGGAGATAGACCAGACCTTTGTGGAAAACAAATGCCAGTGCTCAGTATGAGCTTCTAAGATGGCCAAGTTGCACTCTCAAAGGCCAGATCCCCAGTAGGGGGCGCGTGAGAGGCAGCCACACATTGATGTTTCTCTCTGTCTCTTTCCCCTCTCTCTAAAAATAAATAAAATCTTTTAAAGATTGTTCTAAGAGACATGGGCGCAAGCTCACTTCTCCCCAGAAAACGAATCCAGGCTTCTCAGCTGCTGAGTCCAACTTTAGTTTGTATTATTATTATTTTTCTACTAACTGTGATCTTAGACTGTTCCACAGAGAAACGTGTGTCATTCACAATAGTCTGCTTGAAGATGAGCATCTCTCTTCTACAGTGCCAGTAATTGACTTCTGGTCATGATGTCCTGATTTTACTCCCCTCCAGTGGCTTGAGAACTGCTGAGTTGAGCAACTCCTTAGGGCACCATTAACACTATAACATGTCTGCCGTGTGCAAAGTAAGTTATAGTAATCCAGATAAAATAGGTTGATGGTTTAAACCAGGGGGAAATACAAAAGAGGGAGAAATATAGACAGATTTGAGAAATATTTAGCTGGCAGTATTGGCAGGACTTTGGGGTAGATTAAATACAAGTGTTGAAACCCTGGCTGGTGTGGCTTCAGTGGATTACGTGTTGGCCTGTGAACCAAAGGGTCACGCGTTCGATTCCCAGTCAGGGCACATGCCTGGGTTGCGGGCCAGATCCCCAGTAGAGGGTGTGTGAGAGGCAACTACACAATGATGTTTCTCTCCTTCTTTTTCTCTCTCCCTTAAAAATAAATAAATAAATAAATAAATAAATAAATAATCTTTTACAAGAAGACAAGTGTTGAGGGAAAAGACATTAGAACTGACTCCTAAGTTTTTGACTTATCAAACTAAATGGAAAGTGGAAATATTCACTGAGGCATGGCGTATTATTGGAAGAGGACTCAGCTGGTGAGGGAAGATTATGAAGAAAAATTGAGTTCGAAATACCTTTAAAAAGTGAATATCAAGTAGGTAGAGGGACTGAAGGATTTCTGGTAGTCAGAGGAGAGATTTGCTTTGGAAATAAAAAATTTTGAAGTCATTAGCATATAGATATTAAATAGACCTTGGATATGAAGGGAAGTTTCTAAAAAAGAATGGAGAGCCCTGACTGGTATGGCTCACTGGTCACTGGTTCAATTCCTGGTCAGGGCACATGCCTGGGCTGGAGGCGTGTGAGAGGCAACTGATTGATATTTCTCTCCCTCTCTTTCTCCCTTCCTTCCCGTCTCTCTAAAAATAAATAAATAAAATACTTAAAAAATGTAAGAAAACCTTGGCTAGTGTGGCTCAGTAGATTGAGCGCTAGCCTGCGAATCAAAGGGTTGTCGGTTTGATTCCCAGTCAGGGCACATGCCTGGGTTGCAAGCCAGGTCCCCACTAGGGAATGCACGAGAGGCAGACACACAATGATGTTTCTCTCCTTCTCTTTCTCCCTCCTTTCCCTCTCTCTAAAAATTAATAAATAAATAATTTTTTTTAATGTAGAAAAAGAAGAGAAGTCTCTATAACTGAAGTCTAAAGTGCTTCACTATTTTCAAGTCAGGTTGTGGAAGAAGGGCCAGCAAAAGACACTTACTGGGATGGAAGGCAAACCAGGAGATTATGTGGTCATTTTCAGTCCCTCACCTTCTGATTTGCTTTCTTCAATGATCAGAAAACGGGTGCAGTTATGACTAGTGCACTGGACTTTCTCAGAGGAGTGGGTAGGCATATTCATGTTTTCCATACCATGTGTCATGGGGGAATCCAGTTGAGAATTGCTGCATTGAGTCATGCTCTCTTTCCAGTTACAGGAGGTAGATAAAAATGAAGCCTTAAACATTTTTTAAAAAACTACATTCAAGAAATTTTAAGAATATTGAGACAAAAAATATTTCCCAAGTTTAAGTGGAGTGACTTTGAAGAATTAGTTGGAGTAGGGAGGGATTTTGAGATTTTAAAGAATGGATTATATATAAAGTATTTTAATGATATCAGTGAAATATAAACTGTTTCAAAATGACTTATTCTTAAAATTTTTATTGATTGATTGATTTGAGAGAGAGGAAGAGGGAAAGAAAAAGAGACATTGATTTGTTGTTCCACTTATTTATGCATTCATTGGTTGATTCTTATATGTGCCCTGACTGGGGATTGAACTCACAACTTTGGCCTATCAGGACAATGCTCCAACCAACTGAACTACCTGGGCAGAGATAAAAACTCTTAATTCCTGGAAATGTTCTAGCCCACAGAGAAAAATATTCTGCAGTTTAATCTCGACCATAATTGGCCAGTATGCGTTATGGCAGAATCTGCAGGTAACAGCTTATAGGGAGGACAGTACTACAGAGCCAAATGCAATAGTGAGGGTTGAAGTCATGGAGATGCCTTTATAGCTCACAAATGGGAAATAATGGGCTAATATCATAAAAACTGCTGAGGATGCATTTCTTTTGTGCTTTTGGCTGCTAATCAGCTGGGGACAGCCAATGGTCTTTGATATAAAGCCACTCTGATTTCTGTGGTAGCTGTGACTAGAGATACTTTAAGTTAAAGCTACCAGTTCCTGCTGCTAAGGACAGAATAGTGCCAAAGATGGAAGTTTTGTTTTGTATCCAAGAGAGGAGGGTATAATTTGAGGTGAAGAGGGAAGGGAGAAAGATTGGTTTATTGGTGCATTGCAAAGAAATAGTTCACCCTTGACATGAATATCAAGTACAGAAATTTTCTAGGATAATGTCTGGCTCCCACTGAGAATGCTTAATAAATGTTTGTTGGAGTTGATCTTCTCTTTAACTATGTTTCTCACATGTAATAATTGTAATTAACTTATTTTTATCATCATCAGGCATACTCATATCAGATCATTAAACAAGGTAAGCAACAGCACTGGCTGGTGTAGCTCAGTGGATTGAGCGTTGGCCTGTGAAGCCAAAGGTTGCTGGTTTGATTCCTGGCCAGGGCACATTCCTGGGTTGCAGGCCAGGTCCCCAGCTGAAAGCGAGCAAGAGGCAACCAGTCAATTTTTCTCTCACACATCCATGTTTCTCTCCCTTCTTTTCTCCCTCTCTCCCCTCTCTCTAAAAATAAATAAATAAAATCTTTTAAAAAAGCAACAACTGAAGAAGTGGTTAAATATTAACATTTAAAGTCCAGCATTCTGAATTACGTGTGTATTTGTGGTTTATCTTACACAAATAACATAGTTCCTCACAAGTGTTCTGACAATTGTTCAATACTTCTTAGTAGGCAATTGAATAAAAATGTTCTGCAAGTATGGGAATATTGACCTGGTGTTGTTGAGGGGCTGTTTATCTTTACTGAGACAAGGGCAAAGGAAAACGGATTTCAATTGTATAAATTAAACACCTCGTGTGACATCAGTTAAAACTTATCTATATAAATTATTTGAAAATGACACAATACAGCCAGATTAAACTTCCAAAAGCATAGCTCTGATCTGACAATTCCATACTCAAAAACTTTCAATGACTCCTCGTTGTCAGAAGAATAAAATGAACCACTTAATTGGGCTCTCTATGATTTGCTCTACCTTTCAAGGCTATATATATCCTGTTCTTTCCCTCACAGACCCTAAAACTTGATCTAAGCTATTCTTTACATTTCCTTGTTTTTCCATCCACAGTTTTTTCCTCATGCTATGTCTTCTTATGTGTATATTCTTCTTTGCATCCAGGTTTACTAACATTTTATCTGTTCTTTATATTAGATTGGGTTCATTATTCAGTAAGTTACCTTTGATACCTTCAGACTAATCAATTTTCCTTTCTCCAAAAACTTTCATCAGTTTTTTATGGTACTAACACAAATAGGCCAATCATCTTTTTTGTTGTTGTTGTTGTTGTTGTTGTTGTTCTTGTTGATGCCAGGACGAACAATCACTAACTGCTCAGGTACCAAAAAATTATGCTTCCAAAATCTCTTGATGTTTATTCTGCACATAGAGCAATCAAGCTGCCCTACACATGCCACTCATGACAGAAGCCCTTTTTCTTTCTTGAAATTCTCATATCCCCAAAGCTATGATAATAGAAGATTTTTCAAAGTTTATTGAAAAAACCAGAACTCACCTGATCTTATTTAGTAGTAAAATCTAACCTGACGTGATTCGAGACTTTCTCTAGTCTTTATAGACTAGACCCCTTATCTGTGGGTGATATGTTCCAAGACCCCCAGTGGATGCCTGAGACTGCGAATAGTACCTAATCCTGTATATACTATATTTTTCTTCTGCATGCATACCTATGATAAAGTTTAACTTATAAATTAAGCATGATAACATATTAACAACAACAATAATAAAATAGAACAATTCTAATAACATACTGTAATATAAAAGTTATGTGAATGTGGTATTTCTGAAAATACCTTATTGTACTGTACTTACCTCTCACTTAATGGAAGCATTTTGTAGCTTCCTTTTGGCATATCCAAAACATTGCCATTCTTGAGCTATGGTGTCTTTATTAAGTACAGGCATACCTCATTTTTTTGCACTTTGTTTTATTGTGTTTCACAGATACTATGTTTCCATCAACATTGAAGCAAGACCCTCCACCAACAAAAATATTAAGACTCACTGAGAACTCAGATGATGGTTAGCATTTTCTTGCACTAAAGTATTTTAAAATTAAGGTATGTACATTGCTTTTTTAGACTTAATGCCATTGTACACTTAATGATTTTATATGCACTAGGAAACCAAAACATTTGTGTGACTCACTTTACTAAGAATTTGCTTTATTGCAGTGGTCTGGAACCAAACCTGCAATATCTCTGAGACATGCCTGTAAAATCACAGTTACTTGAACACAAGCACTGAGATACTACAAAGGTCGATTTGATAACCTAAATGGCTACTAAGTGACTAACAGGAAGGTAGTGTACACAGTGTGGATACATTGGACAAAAGGATTATTCATGTTCCAAGTGATAAGCACATCAATGCAACACAATGTGACATGTTACATCGGGGGTATATTAGTATAGGAGAGATGAGTACAAGGAGAATCATAATAATAAGTGTGACACATCCATTATTTTGAAGTCTAGTTAACGAATGATCTGTATGGCATATAGTATATTCATGGATCTGTGTGTAATATCAAATAACCATGACACAAGACCACAAATTTAATACTAATCTTTCTCTGATTGGATTTCCTTCAGTTCAACAAGATTTTCTTTCTCTACTATTTCCTTTAAACTGCTTTGTGGTGCACATTGCTTTTGGTCAATAGAGACTTTCTTTTCTTTTTTGCTAGTATAAGGAACTTCACAGTTTAGTTAAAAACAGCCAAATATCTGATAATTTCTTTAAAATATATTCCAAATAGCCCTGACTGATGTGGCTCTGTGGATTGGGCAGCCTGTGAACCAAAAGGTCACCAGTTTGACTCCTTTTTATTTTTTAATTTTTAAAAAGGTTTTATTTATTTATTTTTAGAGAGGGGAAGAGAAGGAGAAAGAGAGGGAGAGAAACTTCAATGTATGGTTGCCCCTCACATGTGTCCCCTACTGGGGACATGGCCTGCAACCCAGGCATGTGCCTTGACTGGGAATCGAACCAGTGACATTTCAGTTCATAGGTTAGCACTCAATCCACTGAGCCACACCACCCAGGAGGGAGGCAACTGATTGGTGTTTCTTCCCCTCTCTTTCTTCTTCCCTTCTCCTCTCTTTCTTCCTCCCTTCTCCTCTCTGTAAAAAGAAATAAATAAAATCTTAAAAAATAAAATAAAATGTATTCTGAATAAATGTTTTAAAAATTATTAATACTTTCTGAAGAGAAATATTTTTATTTTAAATCTGGAAGTGGCTGAAAGTGGCCGAGCACAAAGATGACCATCTTCATTTTATTGGCTTGTTGCTGGCCCTTGATTTTTGTTTTCTCTCAGGAGGAAATAGTTTAAAGCAAAAAGAACTCCTGGTTTCTAATTCCATCTCAGTTACTAGTTAAATTTGGAACTTAGAAAAGTCACCTTTGCCCTCTGGGCCTTGGTTGCTACATCTTTACAAAGGAGATGCTGTCATCCCCAGAGACCTTACAGAATTGTTGTAGAAATCAAAGAGGAATAGATGCAGTATTGTTTGGATAACATAAAGGTGCTTGTGGAAGACACTAGTGCTCTTGTAATTTTCTGTGTGCTCCCCTGCAGAGCCCAGTATCTTTTTAGTTATGTGAAGACTGTGACTACTCTGGCTAATGGGCTATGAGTAGGTGTGACACTTGTCACTGCTAATCAAAGCATTAAGAGTTCATATGCCATCTCTGAGCTCTTATTCCTCTTCCTTAGTAACCATGGAGACAATATGTTGAGATAGTGGCGTAAAATAGAAGGAGAATCTATCTTTGAGTTACTAAATGGAGGGAAATCCCACCTCCCAAATGACCTTCAATTAACTTTGCATGAGAGAGAAATACATTGTTGTGTCTCTGAGATTTTGGAGCTATATGTTACTGGAACATATCTAAACCTCTACTGGTTAATCCACTGTTACAAGCATAAGGCATTGCTATTTGAGGTGTTCTGTGGAAGTGTGTGGGAAACTAGAGATATGAAACTCTCAAAAGCTTTTGGTGGTGTTCCCATCAAGAGAAATGAGAGGCTTTATGGTTTCTTTAGCAAAGATGCTTCCAATGTCTTTCCAAACCACCTCAAAATTTAGTATTCCAGGAAAGGTATCTTCAGCTCTGCTATGGGTCTTATTTTGATGCTAAGGCTAAGAGCTCATCTCTGCCATTGCTTCCTGCCTTTCAGATTATTCAGACAAGATTAAGAATAAAGGCCTGGTAAATGCTCCACTAGGACCAGTAGAACAGAGGTAGCGTGGGACAAGATTGGGAGATGTCACTCCTGTAAGGTTATTTTCATATAAACCCCTCTTTATTTCCTCTTTGATTATTTTCTTCTTTTCTTGTCTGCTTCTTCTTACTCTGCCTTCTATTTATTTTGTAGTCATAGGCCTTTCTTAATTTTTTGAGTGACCACTCTGTGCTCTGGGCTATAAGAAATACAGAACAGTTTAAGGTATCATGCATGCCTTTAAGTTTATAATACATTGTGGAAATGAGCTTTATGCACAGCAAAGAGGACTAGTGCAAAACTGAGTGATTCAGTGCTAAACTGAGAGACAAATTATAAATGCTATAGGAGACAGCAGGCAGGAAAAGCAATGGAGATTATTTGGATGAGGATGAATCTAGAACTGGGGGCTTGGCAAGGAGGCTGTTGCAGTAATCCAAAGGTGAGGGGATAAATATTTGGAAACGAGAATAGAGAAGAGAAATAATGTGGATGAAAATGACAGTCATTTTAAAAGAAAATGGTTAGAATTTGTGACTAATAGGATGAGAGTTATATGAGTAGAAATTGCCAAAGATGATTGAAAGCTTTAACCCTGAATAGCTTAAGAAAATAAAAGTGTTATTAACAGGGAAAACATTATTCGAAATAAAGTGGAATCAGCCCTGGCTAGTGTGGCTCAGTGGATTGGGTGCCAGCCTGTGAACCGAAGGGTTGCCAGTTCAATTCCCAGTCAGGGCATAAGCCTGGGTTGCAGGCCAGGTCCCCCGCGAGGGGCAAGTGAGAGGCAACTGCACATTGAAGTTTCTCTCCCTCTGTTTCTCCCTCGCTTCCACTCTGTCTAAAAACAAATAAATGAAATCTTTTAAAAAATGGAATTTGATTAGAAGAGGTAGTTATGGGAAACGGAGTTCGCTTATGGATATAAGTGTTTGGTGGAGAAGAGCTCACGAGTCAAGAATACATGTCTAGTATCCAGGCAGATCTATTAGCACTGGAAGCCAAATGAAAAGATGAAATTGGAAATGTGTGTGATATGTGAAGCCATAGTATGATGGATTGGTTAATACACCCAACTTGGGAGGTTTGGATGGAGGATGAGTCCATGAGAGAGACTGGTAAAAACCAATGGGGATGTTCATTCATTCGCTCATTTATTCATTCAACAATCATTTACTGAGCACAAAATATGTGTCATGTATTTGTTAAAACATTTATTACTTGCCCTGGCTGAGTGGCTCATTTGGTTGGAGCATTGTCCCATATAGCCATACACCAAAAAGGCAACTGATCAATGTTTCCTACATCGATGTTTCTCTCTCTCTGTCTCTCTTTCTCTCTCCTCCTCCCTTCCTCTCTCTCTAAAGACAATAAATATATCCTCTGGTGAGAATTAAAAAAACATATTGATTACTGAATAGATTGGTAATTGGGATTTGCGTTAATTTCACTTTCTCAGCATTTCCAAGATGGAAAGCAGGTACAATAGTAAAAATGGTACATATATTTGAAAAGTTGTTTTACAGGTATTCTTTGCATTTAGAGCCTACCTAGTAAGAGAAAACCAATACAAAAATTCTTTCATTTTAATCATGAGACACTATTTGTCTTGAATGAAGTAGCTTGCTGAGTCTGTAGCTAGGACTTTAATATTATTATATTAATGCAGAAATGAGTTAGTGTGCCACATACATATTGCTGCTTCCACATAACTTTTAGTGATGGCCACTTTAAAAAAATCATTCAAAATTTTAATTATCATGACCACAAATTTGAAGCAGATTTTAGCTAAAAATTATGAGGTTATTTTAAAGATTTTATATATTTATTTTTTAGGGAGAGGGGAAGGGAAGGAGAAAGAGAGGGAGAGAATCATCAATGTCAGAGAGAAACATCTAACGGTTGCCTCTTGCATGCACCTGGACCAAAACCAAATCCGCAACCCAAGCATGTGCCCTGACGAGGAAACGAACCAGGGATCTTTCGCTTTGTGGAACAATGTCTGACCAACTGAGCTGCACCATCAGGTCTATCAGGTTATTTTAGAAATCAACAAAATGACTCTGTATAGGAGATAAAGCTTACTTGCCGCAGGATGATAACAGACTATAGAGAACAGAAGAGTGTAGAGGATAACTACAGAAATAAAGAGAAAGGAATGATACCTTATAAACCAGCTTCTCATA